GCGTCGCAAGAGGGAAGGAGCTCGTCGACGATGTCGACGTGGCCTGCGCCGCATGCGATAAAGAGCCCGCGCATGCGATCGTCCATATCGGTCGTCGACGGGAGCTGCGCTCGTACGGCCTCGAGGTCCCCGGCTTCGGCCGCGTCGATGAGCGCTTGGTTGGGCATGGGCACGTTGCAGAGTGGCAGCTTCGGGTCTCTTCTCTGCCACTGTGCCGCCATATGGTCATGTGTTTGTGTCCCGACATCCCACGCCACCTGAAGGTGCAATGCGTCGGTCTCCAGCAACAACTACACTTGCGTAGTACTTGAGCACCTGTCACTATACCATTTGTGTATGCCACATGTGTCCTCGCTAGTTTTGGAGCAAATAGAAAGGCACCGTGCTTGAACGCCGAGTTTATGGTCCAGGAGCATGAAGGATGGTATTAGTCGAGATGCATATAGTTGACGCAACAGAAGTTGCACTGGCGGCGACATCAGGCGATGGCTGCCGTTTGGCAATCAGGCGCAGGCCCAAGACGACGATTCAGGGCGGGTCCGGATCTGGGCGCGGGGCTCTACCTCGTGCTGGCTTGCCACCACCAGCACTACCGCCACCGCCGTCATGGCTGCGCTACGCCCGTGACCGCCTCTGTCGACGTAGTACCGTCACCACCTCTGTCGACGTAGTACCGTCACCACCTTTTGCGGCGACGAGGGGGAAAACACCATCAGATCAGTAGCACTACCACGTTTAGTAAAACGGTGTTTCGAATTGAGCACTCTCGACAAGTGTGGGAAAGTGGAGCTCGCTGCTCGTTGCGACTGCATTCGCCAAGCTTTGGTGCATGTTCATCGAGCCACGCGCCGCCCTTGGTGCTTTGTGGCGCTACGTACACGCCCGCGTCGTAGCATCATTCTCTCGACTCCTTCAACACCTGAACTTTCTCCAAGACCAAGATTCATCGCCAAGATCTGATATAGGAAGCACTTGAATACAGCCATTCAAGCATAAACGGATGCAAGGTTCTACGTGTCGTGCGGTGACATGCAGAAGAAGCGACGATCTACGCGCCCGCGATCAGGCAGACCCACGCTACGAGGCCGACTAACATCGTCGGGCAAAGGGCTGCCCCGGCATTGGCAAATACACCGTCGCTCGAGTCGTTTGGCGCAATCACTTGGCCATTGCTGTCCAGCGCATCGACGCTCGTCTGCGCCGTCTGCACCGTGAGCTGCGTCGTCTCAAAGAGCACACCGGCCTTGACGAGCGCATTCTGAAACTCAATCGATGTGTTGGCCACGAGCGCGTTGAGCTTGGTGGCTGTGATATTGAGCGCCTCGAACGTCGGTCGCTTGATCAGCAGGTCGATCTGCAAGAGCGACGTATCATTGACGACGACGTCGGCCACTTCCGACAGCGTAATGTTCGCCATGTCCACGGGCGGGTTGCCGATCGTGCTGCTGCTACCAGTGGAGCCATTTCCGTTGCTGCTCAGGTACGACGCCAGTGTCTCGGAGAACGCATACGCGTAGTTCTGGAAGCCTGTTGCGTTGGCGCCTTGGATCCACAGGGTCGAGTACAAGCTGTACTGCACGGGCGCGACGGCCGGGTCCGGGTACGCTTGCGGCGCGCACGTCAAGACACAGCGGTTGGCGTTCGGGATCGCTGACTGGCACTGCTGGTACGCAGGCGTGTAGTCGTTGTAGCAGTTGGTCTGGACGCACTGGAGAAAGCCGGGGTAGCAGACGCAGCCGTCGTTGCCGTACATGGCAAGGCACTGGTTGTAGCGCGCTTGGCAGTTGGTCTGGTAGCACGGGTATCGGGTCCAATACATCGGCGTAATGTACAGCGGGTAGTATACGTACACCCGGGGTGGGTAGTAGACGTAGCGATAGGTGTACGGACGACCGACAGGCACATAGACGACGGGGCGCACGGGCGTGTAGATCACCGGCGGCGGCATCGGGCGAGGGCCGGCATTGGGCATCGGGCGGCTCGCCGGCGCGGGTGGTGGGATCGGGCGCGGCCCGGATGCGGGTATCGGTGCGGGTCGTGGGCCTGGCGCCGGACGAGGGTTCGCTTGTGGGTTGGGTCGGGGCGCTGGCTGCGGATTGGGTCGGGGCGCTGGTTGTGAGTTGGGGCGTGGCACTGGTTGAGGATTCGGTCGGGGCGCTGGTTGAGGATTCGGTCGGGGCGCGGGCTTGGGCGCTGGTGCCGGTCGTGACGCTGGTCGTCCGGCTTTGCTTGCGAGGCTCGCGAGTAGGTGGCGCACATGCCCGGCAAAGGTCAAGGGGCTGTACTCGAGTGGTGGCACCTCAGCGCTAACGCCTATCGCCAAGAGGACCAGCAACACAAGACGCACGAGCGCAGATGGCATGGCGAGTCGAACTATGATGGTCTGCGTGGCGAGCC